CGTGCAGCCGGCAGGTTTGTTGCTATGGAGGATTTCCTTCGCGAAACCGGAGGCTTTGCTAAAATGGACTCATCGAACGAGACGGGGACCCAGTGCCGCAGTTGCTGCAGCAAGACCCGAAGCAGGTCTGCACCAGAACCGTAAGACTAGAGGCAGAAGAGCCGGACTGCAGAGGGACGAGCGGCAGCAGCAGCAGCAGCATCAGTAGGGGGAGCAGCAGCATGGCCGCTGCAGCAGAAACACAGACAGCACACACCCCTCCCTCCCGGTTGTCAGACAGGACACCCCCATCTCTCACCCTCTCTCTTTTGTCTGTCACTGAGAATCTAAATCCACTCCACCTTCTCATGAGAAACTCCTCAGAATCACTCTGACATCAGCCACCACGTTCGATTAGTTCAGCTGTGGTAGGCGGGCTCAGATACATATGCATTTAGTCTTTAAATACGTCTGACATATTACATACAGTATATATGTCATACTGAGTCTTTGGTATACTTTAACACACCTTATTTGCTAATATATATATTAGCAAATAAGGTGTGTTAAAGTATACCAAAGAATCAGTATGTAAAAGTAATGGTTAGAAAATAAAGTTACACTTTAGCTTCATAGCATTGTAGTACTAGTTGGGTAAAAACATAATGCAGTTGGGTACCTGATGTACGTAGTCAAAGAGAAAAAGAAAGTTGAAGCTATGCCTCTATAAATTGAGCCCAGAAACATCTCAAACACCTCCCATAACTTCATTTCAAATGGAGCTCAGACAGAGTTATAGATAAGCCTGAGGAGAGGGGAGGGTGTAGGGCAAACATGGGTTAGCAAGATCAAAAACAAAGACTACAGTTGATAAATGTTAGGCAAAAAATAGGCAAATATTACATTATTAGATTATACATTATTACTTTATTATTATATTATTGCTGCGTCTCTTACGGATTTTCGAGGAAAACAAAAAACAAACATTTGATTTGCATTCAGGTCACAGTGGTTGTGCATGAATCCAGCCTCACAGTCAGGTTCTTCAGATCCCAGTGGAGAATCTACTACAATGAAACGCTCCATTTATGGAGGTGTAATGACAACACTTTGCCTGCGGAGGGCGGTAGTGCCCGTTGTTACGTTTAAATTCCCGGGTACGGATGCAGAAA